TAATTTAGAAATGGGATGTTTAAACACTCCTCCTTGGAGAGAAATGTCTTTCGGTTGTGAGCTGTGGCATTTACCCTGCAAAGATAATACTGCTGTAAAATCAAGCTTTTCCTGCTGAAAAGTTATTCCAGGAAGTTTTGAAAAGTTTCTTAAAATATATGGATCATACTTATTCTCTAGCATGTAAAGCTTGAGCCAATGACAGTCAGTGTGTCTGGGTCTGTGTATGAAGCAGTATTGAAAAGCCAGTTCACACCAGCTAAAACACAGTGAACTGTATCTGGAGTGGACTTTTTGTTAGAAGAGGCAGCAGAGAGCAGAGGCCTAGGGTAAATATTTGTATTGACCTTCGTGGGCTGCTATCCACAATGCTAACATCAATACACAGAGTTTTGGGCTCGACCTTTACTGCACCCTTCCATTCACCAGTTCACGTCTCCGTTTTGATCTCCTCCCATCTCTGAGAGAGAAGTGAAGAGTATTTTGGCTTAAAATTTCCTGTGTCTTGCTTCAGGTCAAAGGATAATCCTGAAATGGTTTTGATTTCTAGGAAGGTATCTTTACCTTTTGCAAAAACAAAAAAAAAACAAACCAAACCAAAAACAAAACAAAACAAACAAAAATCAGGTTCCTTATTCAGAGCTGATTCATTTAATATATAGCAAATAAATAAAACCTAAGCTGTTAGTATGTCCAGAAATTGAGTGCATAAACATAGCATGTTTTCCAAGTGGGAAAGAATTAGTTTGCAAGATATTGGAAACGGAGGTGTCAGCTTTTAAATTCGTATCTATTCCGTGTTCCAAAGTCTGTGGAAGTCAATGGAAAGCATCTGCTGGCTTTAATAGGTGCTCATTCAAGATGAGAGGTAGAAGTAGCAGAGCAAATTGATAGAGGAACAGCCACTGCCCATCCTGGGCATACTGTAAATGTGTTTGCCTGGAAGCATTACCAAACACCAGAGGAAGCAAATATACAGAGTATCTCGTGGAGTTGTGTTGTTTCTTGTTTTGCTCTGTGGGCTTTGGCCAATCACTTCTTTCTGGCCCTGGGTGAGAGTTTCCCTGTTAGTGGTATTCAAGGGAAAACACTGAAGGTAAAGAAGCTCTCCATCTGAGTAGAGAGGCAGGGAGAAATTAGTTTTAAAAACTGAAATGCTGACAGATGAGGAGTGGAATTTATTCTTAAATAATCTCCTACTTTTATTTCAGTATGTGACTTAGAAAAATTCATTATAACGTATGATGAATTTAGGTTTCTGAACAAAACATCTTTTAGAGCAATAAACAGAAAAATACCAGATTTTTTTTCTTTTGAAAGTGTTGAAGGGGGTATTCTGACAGTTTGGAAAGTTCCCTCAACATATTTTCCAAACATAAAAAAGTCTTGAAACTAAGCCTGTTCATTTTGGTAAGTCAGCATTTTGAAGGGGAGATGAGAGGGGGCTTGCTAGTGATAAATCCTCCTGAAGCTCTCCATCTCTGTCTCTGAAAGATGGATCCTGCCTTCATTTACTTCTCTAGGCATAGTCACTGCTCAAGAAGTTGTATGTGGTTTTTCCTTTGAAACATCGTTGGACCTCAGGCAACAGAGGTTTTTGCCTGTGTATTCAAGTGTCTGTCAGTCAGCCTGTGCTGAACACCTCGCCCCTGTGAACAGCTACACTCATGCTTACCCTTGCTGCTGCCTGCTACCATTCAACATTCATGCTCAGTGTCCTCAAATCAGGGGATCAGGTCAGGCCAATTTTATTGTTAAGAACAATCTTGATGCTGCTAATCTGCCTGTGAATAATAATTTTTTAAAGATTCCCTTTTCCTAAATGCACCAGTTACCACTTCTTCATGTGGTCAAAATCCTTTTCCATTTCCCAGATACTCCCCTTCCTGGGCACCTTGGACAGACTGTTACTGAGAAGAGAGGAATTGTTTATTTGTAGCACAGTTTTAGGTCACAGCTTTCTCTGGAAGGCTGTAAGATGTAAGAGACTTTTGTGTGAAGCCTGAGCCCAACCTATTGGATCTGCTATCAAACATTTTAGGTAGCCAGTGGTACTCACAAGATCTAAATTAGAGCGGATGCTAACACAATGCATAATACCGTTTTTGGGCTGGAGAATTCCCAGGCTAGCTTGCAAATCTGACAGATTCCACCAGAGTTTTACATGGGGGAAAAATGATGTACTTGTGTGCAGTGGGGAGGGGTGCCCACGTTGTTTGCACTGCTAAAACCTGGGTTTCTGTCGGACATCAGGACTTCTTCCCTCTGCAAATTAATGGTGACCAATGACTGAACCAGCACTGTGGACATAAATCATGGGAAGGAACAGCAAGAAATGAGTACAAGGCTTTTCTTTCTATTTAGTAATTTATCAAGGGAAGTGGCACATTAATAAACAGATCTCCCTTGAGGTGTGGGAGTAACAGAGATAAATATGACTGTCAAATCTGGCCTGCTTCCTTCTGTTAGGGAAGGAGGAGACTGTGGGAATGCAAATGCAGAAAACAATATCTATATCTGGAAAGACACATTATTTGTAGGACAGAAACACTGACAACTCAGCTGAGATGGAGCCCCGTTGCTTGGTGCAGTACATACAGAATAAAACACAAACTCTGTCTAAAGGAGCTCATCTAAATAGATGGCACCAGGAAATAGGGACACAGAAAGAAGCAGCAACTTGCTGAAGAAGGTATACCTGGGGAGGGCTGAGAACAGGACCCAGCTCTTTCCAGGTTGTGAAATCAAGATGCCTTATGACCAGGGAAGAAAAAAAAGAATTTTTTCAAATAATTTTTATTAATACATTAATATGTTGCAGACAGAGCACAGTTTTGACTGTTATCGTTTAAATCCAAGCAACCCTCATGTTGCTTGGTCCAGTGCTCTGGCAGGCCCAGATTTCATGAACCAGATATGAAGTTTGGGAATGCTCTGCTCCAGCCTTTGGGCAGGGTCAGCCTTTGCTGAAGGGAGTTGATTGCCTCATTTTTGGTTTAGTCTTCATAATGCCTCCATACACTGGCTGCTCCTTTTCCAGCGCATGGGGTAAGTGCCACTCACCACAGCAGAGCAGGGCTGCAGTCTGCCAGCCACAAGCATCAGGAAGGTTTGAGTCTAGCCCCATGACACCAGCTTTTTAACAGTCAGGAGATGGTTTTTATGGACCGTTGCACTCTCTTTCCATTTGCTACCTGACCACTGAGTTGTGTTTTCTATCATCTCCCTGCACCGTGATGTTGCAAAACATAGTTATACAAAATACTATAAGAACAAGTTCAGCAAATATGCAACAATCTGATTGTTAGGAGGAATTCCCACTATTGTCAGTATTGCAGCAAAGGCATTGAAGCTAGCAACTCCTGAAGCTTCTTAGGTGCAGGACAAAAGTTGCAAGAGTGCTTGGTTCAAGTACCAGCTTAGCCTTGGACTTCCAGTGGGACCTTGGGAAAGTCATTTATCTTGTGCAGTGAGGGACATTATGGGTAACAAGGGGACAGTGGCACTAAACCCCATTGATTACGCAGCACCCAAGCATGGTAATGACCAAGCCTCTTAGGTACATGGCTGAGCCATTTGGAGATGGAGAGGCTGCAATCCAGCCACTGGTCTCAGGGAAATGTTGGCACAATCTCCTGCAAGCCAACACAAATGAAGGAACTAGTTGGTGACACTGGCAGGATATACTTCACCTCCTTATACATCCCATTCACCCTCCAACATGCTAGCACTGTCATCAGGGCAGGAAGTTTATGCTCTTGCGAAGTGCTGGGCATGTATTTGGTGGTATGCAGCTGAATCAGTCCCTCCTAGACTAGAAGAAGATACCTCGTATTGCCAGTCTGGGAAAGGTACTGTTTTATTCATGGTGTTTAACAGGATATACCCAGAGCAAACTTTCTGGAAAAAGTTTGAAAAGTCACTGGAAAAGCCAGATAATAATACAGTGCTGTGTTCATTGAGGGGAAAAAGCTGGAGCAGCTGAGCCCTCCTGCACCCCTGGATGGATGACATGGATTAGCAGCCAGACACCACAGCTGAGTGGCATATTTTACCTTTAGAAATCTTTTGGTTTTTTAAAAAATAGGTGACCTAAATGCTGCTTTCATTACTTTGGAGGAATGTGCCAGTCCAATCAGGGCTAGAACTCAGGCAGGCTTTGGATCTGGTACCCTGGTATCAGCTGTAATATGGCCCATCACCAGCTCCCGTCCACGCCACCCCAGAGATTTGCAGGTGGGTCAGGCCTGAGCAGAGTCTCCTCTGGATGAAGTCAGTTGTTCCAGTTAGCAGCACCGAAACACTGGGAGGAGGCCAAATTCGTACTCGCCGTGTACCGCGGATCCGCAAACGGGACTGGCAGGGTTGGAAATGACTTCATGCCTGAAGAATGATTGACAATTGCTAATAGGGTCCAGGCACTGGCAGGTCCCCTCAGAGAGGGAGAGCTTGAACTTTGTGCCTGAGCTGCCAAATTGGTTTTCTTAAAACTCTTCATTTACTTTCGGGGCTCGTGGAGCCTCGCCTCCGTCGTTAATTGGAGGGTCAGCATTGTGCTCGCAGTCGTGTGGTTTCCGCTCCCTCCGCACACAGGCACAGACACCATTGCCAGGGGTCACCCCGTCCCTGCTGCGCGGCTCTGCTGGCCCGCTGCTCCCGCCACCGAGTCAACAGGGACGGCCGCACTCAGGGAAACCTTGTGGGGCCTTTTCCCTTTTAATTTTAAGTTAATTTAGTGCCGATGAAAGGGGGTGACGGACAGGCTTATGATTATCCCCTGAGGAGGGCGAAGCCAGCGGGCGCCCGGTGCTGCCTGACCCCTGTCATTCAGCACCCAGCAGAGAGGAAACCTCCTATCCCAGTGCAGCTGGTCCCCGTGCTGCTCCCGGCTCCTGAGCATCCCACAGCAGTCACGAGTGCAGCCGGTCTCAGCACCTCCCACCCCCCTGCGGGAAGGGAGCAGCCCACTCATTTTGTCTGAGAGTCTCTCTCTCCTCCAGTGTCCCGGTTTTCGAGCCCACGGGTGACTCCGAGATTAAGCCGAAAGCGAGCCCTGTCCATCTCCCCGCTGTCTGATGCCAGCATTGATCTCCAGACGATGATCAGGACCTCCCCAAACTCTCTCGTGGCATATATCAACAACTCCAGAAGCAGTTCAGCTGCAAGTGGCTCCTACGGTCATTTGTCTGCCGGGACAATCAGGTAAAGCTCTGGGAGCGGCTCCGTTCAGCTGCGTAATCATCCTCCCGAAAGGAGGGGTGCTCCTACAGCAAGGGACACCTCCCCTTCCTTACATTCTCTGCTTTTTCCCGTCGGGGCTGTGTATTAACTCAAAGCCCCCATCTGAGTCTGTGTGTGGAAGGTTACCCGGTGGCATATGGGTTTGGGGTTTTTTTGATGGATTGGGACTATTGGTTACCAGGTTTCCAGTAATTACAGTATGATCATGCCTCCTGCAAGCAGCAGCAGAGAATAAATTAGTCTAACAAAATGCTTATTGTGAGTGGTTGAACTGGTTAAGAAACACTCTGATTTAAGAGATTACCCCAAATTATTGGCCACATTCTCAAAAAAATAAAGTTGTCCAGGCAGATAGAAGAGCATGGTTCTGAAAACATATTTAAAACAAATCTAAGCCCTTGAATAAGGTTTTGGCCAAATCTTAATTAAAAAGCACTTATACTAGGCAGTTCACTGTTGTCAGTTCCTGCTGTGATTGCTTCACCCAAGTTTCACAATGTTAATATTCTTTTTATTACTTGATTGTTAAAAATGTTAGATCTAATTAACACTGATGTTGCAAAGCAAGGGTTTATAAAGATCATGCACTCCTGAAATTTGTAGGGGGAAACAGAGATATTGCAATTAGTAACTGTAACATTAATTTTGTAATTTACTGTAGCCAGCATCATTATTTAGAAACTGACTGTAAAATCAAATATAATGCTAACTTAAACGAATTGCAACTCCTTCTCTGACCGTATTTTTCTAGTCTTTTCACCTGTTATCATTAACTGGGCATACCTGCAGCATCTCATCTTATACTCAGATTTTAAGCTTTTCAGGGTAGCGTCTGGTATTTTCAATGACTCAGCAGAGTGTAGAGTTTGACCCAATAGTCAGTTGTTGGTCTACACGAGAATAATCAAGTAATAATAAAGAATTTGAAACTCTTCTCAGTGTTCTGAAGGTATATCTTAAATATCAGAAATTGTAAAACGGGTTACAGATAAAACAGGATTCCTAACTGTCAGCAATTTGATGTGAAAAAACTTATTTGTTATTATTTTAACGGTGTCTTAGTGGTAGGAATGAAACATTTTCTCACCCACCCAGACCCAGATCCTGATGGCACTTCAGAAAGTCATTTTTGGACTTTGCTGTAACATAACAATGATGTGCAGCAGCCTGCCATCACACTTCATTTGCTGCAGTGTTTTATACTGTAGTGATTTTTGCCCTTTATTCTTTTGGTCAAGTTGTCATTAACTGCTTTGGAACAGAAATACTAATTGTATGATTACCAACAATAAGTATTTTCTCTAAAAGCAAAATTGGAAATGAAGTGTGTTGTTAATTACGGCCCTGTTCTCTGAGCACTCATGCCATGGACAGTTTTAGTGATGTGGAACAAAATACCATGAGGGTGAAGGCTCAGGACAGCCACCTCTTAAAGGTGGCAATAACTGATTTTTGGGCTGAGAGTCTGTGGCTGATACATTACCCACCTTGAGTACATGGAGCAGAGCATCTCCCATGCCTCTCCATCTCTGCCAAGGAGGCTCAGCCCTGGGAGTATACCTCTTCTTTCCAAAAGCAGAGCTTCATTTTTAATGCTGTCAGCTGCCGCATCCTGGCTCGGACCTGTTGCCCACAGTTAGTGCCCAAGCAGTCAGGAGCTGGTGGTGTTTCTGGTCACCACTAACCTAGATTGGAGCTGAACCACTGACCTACATATGAAGGGTGACATACTTTTCAGCAGTCCCCTGAGCCAGCAGTCCCTCACCTGAACGCAGAGTAAATTGTGTGGTTTTGCACTATGTTAAATGGAGAGATATTCAGCCCTGCTGTGATCTGTGCCAGGTGAGCCAGGTGATGATGCTTTTTTATATCCAGGGTAGCATAACCCCAAGGATACGAGTCTGCAGAATGAGTCTGCCTGGGAAAACCCAGGAGTCTCAGGGGCTGCAAAACCAGATGTGTCCAAGTCCCATCCTCTTCTGCACTCCCTGCCAAGGGCTTTGACTGGTTTTAAACATAGGAAGCAAAGCAATCATAATCAGTCTGATATGTGGGTCGAAATGATTCACAAGGTTGCTGAAGCATACTTGAGACAAGTTACGTCTTTGCAGACTGTCAGGCTTATTGTGGCGTTGAAGGCATCAAGCTGGGGCATTGAAGCCTCCCTCCTGAAGTCTCCAGTAAGCCAAGCTGGAATCAGTCACTACATAACGTAACTAAGTATTATTTAAAATAATGCCTCCTCCTTTTTCCTCCTCCTGTCGCTGCAGTCCGGCGTTCAGCTTCCCCCACCCCATTAACCCCGTGACGTACCAGCAGATCCTGACCCAGCAGAGAGGCCTGGGCTCGGCCTTCGGACACACGCCTCCCCTGATCCAGCCGTCGCCCACCTTCCCTCCGCGGCAGCACATGGCCGTCATCTCCCTTAACCCCCCGCCCGCACAGGCCAGCAGCAACAGCAACTGCATCTCCGACTCCAGCCAGGTAGGCACGGCTGTCCTGGCTCTCTCCCTGTGTGGCACACAGGGAAAGGGGGGCACGTTCTCCAGGGGATGGGTGCTGCCCTTCTTCGTGGCTGTGGGAGCTTTACCCACTCTCTTTTTACTCACGCTCTCCCTTTTACGTTGCTTCTTCCTTCTCCGGGCAAAACATTTCTGGACTGGTCACCGCCAAATTTTGTACCCACCTCCATTCCCTGCACACATTTGGTTTCATGCAGGAAACAAAGGCCTTGATCCACTGAAGCACTAAACATGGATACACAGGGTCATCTCAGACAGAAACTCTCCTTGAACACTTGCTATGTGCTATTTAAATAGAGGAAATTCAGCACATGCTGGAGGGTTTTGCCAGATAAGCACCTGAGCACTGTGAACTAAGCTTCGTCAGTTCCCTCACCAATCCCTCTTTCATTTTATTCCACTGACATAAACCATGCCAATGGTCTTAAAACACCATATTCCTTCCTTCTTCAACAAATATGCATCCTGCCGAGGACCTCTAGCCATTTTCCTTACTATTCCTTCTTTTTCAGCAGCTTCTCAGGGTATCTCTGCTGTTGATTTTTACTGTTAAGCTTTGCAAAACCAGGGGCCAGATTTTGAAAACTGGGAATGCCATGACACGTATGAAATCCCATACCTCAAATCTGTCCTTGCAAATACCTATGAATTCACCCAGGCACATGCATGTGTGCACAAGTCCTCCGCATGCGCAGGTTTAGTGAGTAGGTCTATCACAGTCCTAATCATTTTTCCTTCCCATTTTCGTTCTTTGGAAGTTTAAATTGCAGTTGCTCTCCTCCCCAAAGACTTGTTTCACCTCATTTCACACCCATTTCAAATTGTTGTTTTACTTGTATCATACTGAACTTTCAGACTGGTTTATTGTTTTAGGGTTTCTCATGGCTGCTGCGCTGCAAACTCTGTTCGTTATTGAAGGTTATTTGATTGATTGGTTTTGTTTTCTTCTTACAAACTGGCTACCAAAATAATGTGGCTGGCAGGAGTTATGCATCTGTTTAATAACTTGCAGGGCCAATCTTGAGCAATTAGCAAGAGTGTTTTTAAAATACTAATGTTCCAATTTTATGCACATACAATGGACTGTTTTTTCTCCTGAAGTTGTTCTCATTTTTTAAGAGCTTAGCAAAATATACACATAGCCTTTCATGCACCCAGCATGCCAGAGCCTTCGCATGTAACCAGAGCTCCCCGCTCTCCCCAGGAATTCATTTCTCAACAAATCATTTCATTGCATTGAGAAATTAAATCGTGGCTTGGGTGGGGGTTGCTTAAGGTTTTGATGGCTTTGACAGGGACTGGATTGCTCTGACACAGAGCAGCAGCAGCAAGACCGAGCTCGCTGGTGAGCCTGGGGAAGCTGATGCTGCCCATGACCCTTCCCTCTTTTCCATCCCTCTGCCTTGCAGAAACCCACACAGGCTAGTTTTCGTCTGAAACCCAGGCCAGCAGGCCAATAGCCTATTGTCCCTGGCCCCTCCTGAAATTCGATCTTGTCTGATTTTTAAGTTAATTTTTAATGAGGTAGGCTGCAGTCTGTCTCTCATCCCAAAGCCTGGTGCTGTATCTTGCCTGGTTTTCTTTCCTAGAGCAAGCAGAGCAGCGAGTCAGCCGTGAGCAGCACAGTCAATCCCGTGATTAACAAGCGCAGCAAAGTCAAGACTGAAGTCGAGGGCTTGCCCCCAGCATCCCCAACCACACAGGTAACCTTCCTGGTGCAAGACCTTCAGTGGGGCTGAGGCAGCAAGCTGCTGGGTCTCGTTGTCTTTGGGAATGATACTCTTGGCACCTTTTGCTGCAGGTGGGAGCAAGGCATCAAAGGCTGCCAGGCAGCAGAGTGTCACTCAGAGAAGGAAGCCTGTCAAGGTACAGGGCAGAGCTGAGGTGACTGCAGCATTCGGTGGGTGCTTGGGTCTCAGCTTGCTGATGCTGTGCTCGAAGAGAAAAAAAAGAAGGGAGAGAATATTTCAAGTGTGATAATTTAAAAACGATACCTGAGTTTTCTGTATTGCAAAGCAAGCAGGATTAGTGTCTCAGAGCAAACACAGATTATGAGGGAATCTTGCATGTAGGTAGAAAGCTTGCAGAAATAAAAAGGTTGACTTCTTGACTCAACATAGAAACATCCTTTATGCTGGTGACACAACATTTGACACCAAGAAGGGCCCAAAGGCCTTTGCTTTCTTTCTGGAGCTCTGTGATTGCAAACTGTTTAATGGCTGACAGTATCCATCTGACCGTCCTTTATCACAACTGTAAACTATCAGGAGTGCTCTGGGCACTTCATTTTCATGAAATATTAGGCTGTGTTATTGTCAAGCGAATGGAAGAGTTGATGACAAATTTCTCCTCCTGCCCTGGTTCAGGAGCAGGTCTCAGCATGATGCATGGGGACAGCAACGTGTGCAGTCATCAGGGGGCTGGTAAAATTGATGAAGATAGCATATCAGGGAAAGATAAACATGCTGTAGTCAGCACGATTAGGGCAAAGAGGCACCTCTCTGGAGCTTTGAGTTTCGGAGTGCATCTACATGCTGCTGAAAAAGCACGTGCCCCGAAAAACCAATCTGGCCACCACCCAGGCTAATAGGGCCATGTGTTTATTTCCTGCAGCAAATGAAAAAAAGATCTGAAAGCCATCACCTGCTTTCTCAAAGCATCTGTGACAGAGGAGCTGTGGGACAGACAGCTGTTTGCTCAGTGACTGTTGTCCTCTGTTCTCTGCCCCAATGTGAGGAGGGAAGCGCCCAGCCACAGGGAGTGCTTGGGTAACATCAGCCTGGATAACATCAGCTCACCCTTGGAGCCCTGCCCCAGAGATTCATCCAGTGGGTCTCACATAAAATGAGCACTGAAAGGAAGAGGGGAGTAAAGTGCTGCAAAGAGCTTTGCTGAGAATACCAAGGTGAAATTAAGACAAGGAGAATCAACATTGGTCGTCTAAGAGTTCCTAATGAGGAGATCTGCTCCATGTCTTGCAGCGTTTTAGTATTGACTGGGGAATTACTGGAAAGGTACCTTGTAAAAGACAGCCCAGTCTGGGCAAGGAGAACAGGTTAAAAGACATAGTGGGTGTCTCCTATTCAGATGTTTTAAACAACAGCAACTTGATCAATTTGGGGATTCCTGTTCTGCAGGAAAATGTCCTGAAAAGTTCAGCTACAGTCAGTTAATTATTGACTGATATTTTTTGCAGAGTATGAAGCTCATCCATCCCCCCAAAAAACAACCATGCATGTGTGTATTTTGTTTTGGAAATGCTGTACTGGAAAGGCCTCATGTGAGTTGTGGTTTGGGTGTTTAAAATCCTTGGCCAGACAATATCTCCCATGATGGCCCGGGCTATAAAAAAAGCAATCCAGACAAGATCTGTGGGACACAGTGGAGCACCAGGCACGAGGGACCTGAGTTACTGTGCTCTTACAATACCACAATAGCTCCGGTACAGATTCAGAGTAACATTGAACTAGCCAGAAATGAAACAAGTCTATCATCTTCCACAAATGAAAATGGTTTCAATTTCATTTTTCCAAGAGAAAGTATTAAAATTTTGGCAAAATAAGATTTTTAATAGAAAATTTCACTTTTCCAGAGACCACGTTTTGCAGAGAGAGAAATGTTTCAACAAAAATAACGTTGACAGCTCAACCAGATAGGAACTGCAGGAAAAAGAAGTGGCTGATTGAACTTTCTCAGACTATTGCTCTGCACTCTGATACAGTTTGAATCTCCAGAAGTCTTTCTGTAAATTACTACAGTTTCCTGTCCCAAGAGCCACCTTACAATTTTATTTTTTTAAAAAAAAAAACTAAGAGCTAATTAAATCTCTTCCTCTCTATATCTAAACTTCTGAATTGAAAAGTCACAGCTGGCATGTATGTCAAGAGCTAGTTAATGAAAACTGGTGAACTTTCATACAGTACATCTCATTTTTCAAGCCACATAATGCCATTAAATCATTAATCATTGCAGCCCTTCAGTACGCCTCAGGAAGGTGTTGGTGAGGAAGGAGGTGGCAGCCAGATAGGTCCTTTTGGGCTGGTCAGAGACAGTTTGAGGTGGCTGTGGCTGTGTCCGCACACTTACGGGACCAACTGGAGCATCAGGTCGTGAGGAACAGCATGTGATGTAGTCAGTCACCCCAGACACTCCTGTCTAAAGCTGCCTGGATGGAGGCAGGATGCTCTGTGCTGGGCAGTAGTAATGACAGGGAGGAAAGAGAATGAAAGGGTCAAAACCTGCAGGATTTTCTGTTGTTGAATTCGCAAGCCTGTACTGGCTGGTTGCCTTGCCTGTGGTGGAAGTGTCTGACACACACAGAGCTGACAGTTGTCCTTGCCTCTGAAGTGTACTGATTATGTACTACATTACACTCTTGTGTAGGTGCTGATGCTTTAACCCTCATAGCAGCCATAACAAAAAATATTCTGTGCTTCACTTAGCACTGGAGAGCTGACTAGACAGAGAAGTTAAGGAGAGAGCTCACAGCCTGCCCAGCATTAAAGTAACTCATTTACGAGTCCAGAGCCCCAAGAGCTCTGCTCTGCAACCCACTCATCACTGGGTCTTGCTCAAGCTTCCCGAATTTCCCTATCTCAAAGGAGTGCTTTGAAGGCTCACCACTTTGTCCCTGTGGAACATCCTGCAGGTTTATATCTTTGGATAAGTATTAGGTATAATTTTCTCATCTGTTGAAAGATGCAGAAAGCAGGACTCCCCCTCCCCAACCCAAGTCAGCGGAGTGTGATAACCACTAGGCTCTGACTGCAATGCGTTTTCTTCTTGCTCATATTTCCCCACTGCCCCCCCAGATCTGAAGTTTTATTCCAGCGAAGAACACCACCACCAGTCAAAAGCCAGCCTTTAGCTTTCTCCAGTCTGTCCTGAGACTGCCCATGACCTGAACCACTGAGATCATGGCTTCAGGATGCTTTATGTCTTGTCATTAACTCTGATCCATTTTTCCAAAACTCTGTCACTCATTATTTCACAGTAATCAAGGATGTTATATTGCCACAATGAGCACAGTTTTGTGATCATTTGGTACTTGCCCTGTAATCTCTGAGTAATGGAGGAATTCAGATGAAAGAAGTTCACCTCATACAATGCACTGTTGTATGTTGCAGGAGCATCTGACAGACCTGAAAGAAGATCTAGATAAGGATGAATGTAAACAGGAGCCTGAGGTTATTTATGAGACGAACTGTCACTGGGAAGGGTGCACAAAGGAATATGACACTCAAGAGCAGCTTGTCCATGTGAGTAATGGTTGGGAGGAAACCCCAGTGATAAATTTGGGTTTCTGTGCACTTGTCCTCATTTTTTATCAGTAGCAAGAGCTCACTCTGGGAGCTACTAAAGGTGCAAATCAGAGATACGGTGTGTAAACACTGCCAAAGAAGGTTGCTGCTCCCCAAGGAGTTTAGCTGCAAGAAGCCTCTCATAGATTATTTGATGTTGTTCTCTTCTCAGCTGCTGAGGCTGCAGTTTTGGTCTCCCCTGTGCATGACCCAATGACAGAAGGCTCTGTGCAGAGGACCTGATCAGAAGACGGTGAAGGGGGCTGAGCCCTTCCCTCTTCCCTGATCATATTCACTGAGCCTCCCACACACCTACACCAGCTAGAGGTCAGGGATCATCCATTCTGTTCTCAGCCCTTGTCCAGGTCGTGAAAGCCTTTTATGCTGCTGTGACATGAGCTGTGGGGCAATATCACTTAGAGGCTGTTTGGCTTCTCAGATCATTCCTCTCACAAAAAAAATAGAGCACTTCCAGAGTTTGGAGAGACGTTCTAGTGTCTCCATCAAGACCTGAAACGTAGAAAGTGGCTTGATTTTTTAAAAGTTGGGAAATAGGGCTTCCGTAATCGCAGCGATGTCCCTAAATCGGTGTCAAAACTGCTCTCTGAAGGATCCCTAAACTAAATCATTAATCAGATTTTCAGTTCTGATTAATTCCAAGAACCTTTTGTCTGCTTTGCTTCACATGGGAATCCACCGTTTGGTTTCCTTTGGCTTCTGGGGTCAACAAATCCCTCAAACTCAGTGCAAGTGCCTATGAAACCAGCTATGGTCTGTGTCTGAGCCCCATCCTACCCCCTAGCCTAGCACCCTCTCAGTCCTCATCTTGGGTCTTGTGAAAGCACCATTTATTTGTAGTCAGCCCAGAGCTGCTGGGAGTTCACCAGCCCCAGCAACCTTGCTGCTTGCAGCAAAATGTTGGATTGAGCAAAATTTGCAGCAGGACCCTTGCCTCAGGCAGGCTCCAATACTGCTAGGGGCCACTCAGGTGACTCACGGGTGGCCGTCTTCCTGAGGGTTCCTCTCTCCTTCCACCCTTTTTAATAGATCTTAATTTTAGTAATGTTTAGATGCCACCAAGTAGGCATCAGTCTCTGTTGCCCCAGGCTCTGCACACAAACATTCTCTTAGCCCAAAGGGACTACACTCGAAATGATAATTTTGAGCATGTGCTTTTCTTCCATTGAAGTCTAGCACCTGCCCAGCTCTACCAGAAGTCAGTGGTTCCGTGCAGCAAGTCCTTGAGTACAGACAGATTTGGAAATTATTTTCAGGGTCAAACGAGTGATAAGGTGTTTCCTGGGTTGCACATTTCATGTCTTGGGGTGTTGCTTTTCTGGGCTTAAACCACAGCGGCCCTGTCAGATGGGCTGGGCTCTCATTTGTCCAGCAGTATATTTGTGTTTCCCTCTCAGACGTAAGAAAAGTTCTTTAACTCTGCCCAGAGCAAAGTGTAGGACAGATCCAGGCAGCTCAGCACAATTTATTTCCAGAGAAAAGCCAAAGAAAAATGTTTGACGGAATGTCCTGAGATTTTCCTAAATTTGGAAGGTTATAAAAACAGAGGCTTCTGTACTATGATTACTAGTAACATGGGACTGTGGATTTGGGATGCCCAAAATACACATACAAATGAAATACAGATGTCGTTGGCCAACTTCTGAGAAGGTGGCATCCCACCGTGCATGGAAAAACTTGAGTCTGTGTGCAGAGCAAACTACCTGGGTGTGCAGGGTCTGTTCTTCATATGCAGTGGACCGTGTACATGTGGGAAAGTTACATGTGAACAAATAGCAGCAGGAGTGAGGACATATTTTTGAAAGCACCACTCCTGGTCCCAGCCTCAAAGGTCACACTCAACCTTCACACACTTGAGAGAAGCCCGGGCAAAGCCTCTGGCCGGGTGGGGGTTTGATGAGGGCTATGGAGCCATAGTCAAAGTATAGCGAGTTGTGCGACTGTTCCTCAACCATGTGATGGGAAGCAGATGTTGCCCAGACAGTGAGTTAATAAGCCTGAAGAGGATTACAGTCTTCCTCCCATAAATGTGTCTTCCTCTGGCCCAAGCATGACCGAATGGGCAAGCCTGTGCACCACCCCGCCCCGCTCCTAGGACTTGTGTGTGTAGTCTTGGTTGTAAGTCAGACTCCAGTGCAAACACAGCCAGGAGATTTATCTTCCCAGTAAGGTCCGGAAGCAGTTTAGGGTGTCCATGGATCTCCTGGGGGGGGGAGAATTCACCAGATTTCCACCATCTGAGGCTAACATCTCTGCTAACACCAATGCCGTGTTGTAAAACCAGAACCATAGGCAGCTGAACTCCAAACTCCAAACCCCTATGACATCTCTCCCAAACCCATCCTTCCATGACACTCCTGGCATGCAGCTTTGGCTTCTTGATGGTTACTCTTGGTGCCAAAGAGCCCAACTGAAGGTCATGCACCCCTTCTTGCTCCCGGGTAGACCTGGTGACCCAAACAGCAGGTCCCCACCCCTAGGATTGGGCCACGGCACACAAAGTGCTGGGGCTGGATTTGACTGGGACTATGAAGGTGGGTGATTCTGTTTTAATTCTTTTTTGTGTCCCTGTGCTGCCTCACCACCCCAAGAAAGTCTCA